ATTCTGGTAGGCATTGGTTTAAATGGGAGGACTGTTAGAAAAAACAGCTCCGCTGGAAGCAAAGTTCCCTCCTAGCTACGGAAAGGATGTCCCGGCTATGCGGGATACATTAAAACTTTGCTGAAAATGTTCCGTCTGCAGGTCTGTCCCACGTAGAGATCAACTAATCAGACGAAAGTTCTGCTTCTGAAGCATCACGTGATACCAATCTGAGTGATAACCGATTGCTGTTTGGCGTTCAAGTCTGTTTAGTAAGTGGAAATGGTAAACTAGCTAGGTAGGTTTGCTGAAATATGCGGGTTCTGAGAAATGTCGCTTTCGACGTCCAGTTCCACGTAGCAGAAGCATATGTGATAGAGACTTACTACGCGCCGAGTGTACGCGCCGAGTGTGCTGCACCACTAAGGTGTGCAAAAAGAGAAGGAGGCAGGAAATACCACATAACATTATAAAATATAATATTTTCTTGTTTTAAATTCCGTCATTTTACTATGCAGCAAAGCTCATATTCGAGTCCATGTCGTTTTCGAAACTAAGTTCATTTTACTAAGCGAGCAAACGGTCGTTCGCCAAAAACGTTCATTTACGATGAGCTCTTGCTGGAACGTTTCCTTGTAAGAAAATTCGATTCACATTTTAGTTAGTCGACTGCATCGATTCTCCCAAACCCGCTACTCGTTCTATTCTATCCGTTGTTCTCTCGATCGTCTCACATCGCTCTTGTTTCACTTTTCATCCTACTCATATTTATTTCATTAATATGGTTGTGTGCGTACGGATTGGTAATAGATTGGATGCACAAGTCCGATAAAAGGTTAATAAAATTTATTCTTATCACAAGAAATAAAACAAAACGCTGGATTTTTTCTCAGAGATATTCGCACAATATCACAATATCGCGCAATATAATTAGTAGCTATACTTTAAATTACTCAAAACGGTAAATAGAACGCAATGCACAGCGCACAGAAAAATCCGATCAACATTAATAACAGCGACTAACTAAACAACTGAGATGAGATGTTCTCTCTATGGCTTTTCATAGCTTTTTTAAATCGTCCGTGCGAGACAGTTCGTAGCAATTTCTGGAAAGCAAAAGCAGTAGAACTACGGTTGCAACTAAGAGAGTAATCAATTACATTTATTGAATTTAAATATAAATTGCGAAATATCTATTTATTAGATGTTAAATGCATCTGCTCCTGAATTTTTAATTTTCCGTGGTAGGTTTCTCTTAAAATATGTCTCGTGCTACATTGCACGGGAAAATAAAACAATTTTAACTATACTAAAAATATCTATTTAAATACAAAATTCGTAATAATACTATTGGTAGTGAGACACAAGCCGTGAAAAGAACCAGCTGTGTTAAATGAGCCAATGGTTAGGATCCGAGTTCATAAAACAGCGGTTTTCGGCAAAATATACAGCAATTATCAGCCATTCTTAGGTAATATCACAACATGCTGTATAACCATATGTCCTGGTAACAGTGACTTTTGACTATTCTGTTGCTCAGTTTATACTCAGTTATACTGCTGAGGATATACCAAAAAAAATTTTTTTTAATGTTGAAACTGATAAAACAAACAGGATATATGAAGCAAATCTAATTATAAATCATGATTTACGGATAAACAAAAGAAAACACAAGGAAGTTTGCTAGAAATAACCAATCGAAAATGGTACGATAAATACAAAATTTCAGGTTTATACTGAAAAACACAATATAAATGGCGACTTCTAGAAAATCAAAAGAAAACGCAATAACTGAAAATGAACATATTTTATAATGAAAAAAAAATTTTTTTTTTTTAATCTGAAGTGTTTCAGATTTTAAATTACATCCGAAGGGGCGTTTTTTAACTTTTTGTGTATTACCTTTATTTATTAAATATCGTGTTCTTCGCGCTCAAATCTTAAAATTCAATTTAACAGCAATATCGCAAAATAATTTTAAAATGAGCTTATCTTTAGAATTTCCGATACACAGGCTCACGCGCTGGAGATAATTTTTTTTTTTTCGTAGAGTGCTGCCATTGCTCGCTTTGAAATCGTTTAGAATCAAAATACAAATACAGTGTTATAAGTGTTACAAAATAGGAAATCGATATTAAAACAAATTTTTAAATCAAATTAGGGTTTTCACACGTCCATCTTCTAGGGAAGATTAAGTTATTCAAATTTTGGTGGCTCGAGAAACACACATACATTCATGCAAATTTTTATTATCTAATTTCGTTAAATATAATACAGGGCTCTAATATTTGGTGGCAACAATTTGAAAAGTGATTCGCAGTTTATAGTTTTCAAAGCAAAACGAAGTTAATATACCCTCAGTGTAAATTGCCCCATGAGACAAAAAGAATACTGCAATCAGTTATTCGATGAAACGCATTTTGTTCATACAGTACTAGCGGAAGTACCCGATGCCAGTTAAGTTAAACTGTGATTAATACATCTAACAACAGAGAGAACGATACCGCTGTAAAGTTTCTCTAATAACGATGAAAAAAATACGATTCATAGTCACATATTTTTCAGTCTGATGCGATAGGGAACCCACATAAAAATTTCTATAGAAAAATTATAAGGTATTTCTCCCGCCTTCCTAGCGTACCTTCGTGGTGTAGTGGTTCTGCACGCTGGGCCGGTATTCCAGAGGTCCGTGTTTCGATTCTCGGGGAAGGCATTGCTAATTTTTCATCTTGCCTGCCTCCAAAAAATAACTTATGTCTCTACAAAATAAAGTAATTCTTTCTCTCATTATATCAGCAACAATGGCACGCAGTTTTTAATGATTTTCGTCTTTCTAATCAAATGGACGTAAAAGTTGAAGTTCCATCCAATATTTCCCCTAAGTTCAAATTTAGTTGATTAAATGTGGCAAAACATTTATCATAATTGACTAAAAATCAGTGAGTTGAACAAACAAACATTCTTATTTTTATATATAAAGAAATTTATAAAACTTACAAATTTTTGTTTGCCAGACTCTACGATTTGAAAGCGAGCAATAGCAACACTTTTAAAATAAAGCATTTTTATCTCCAACGTGCAAGACTGTTACCACTCGGAAAAATGAGTGCGAAAATTAGCGCTTTCAGAGTTTTTAATTAATATTTCGGCTGACTAATGTCGTACGAAGATAGGAATAGTCGAAATGGCTTCCCGCGAATATTCGGAATAGGGAATAATGTATTTAATGACTGGCAAAGCTATTTTTATTTCAACGTCAAACTTAGAAATTGTTTTATGAAAAAACTCAAAAAAATTTCGCTTTCAAATTCTTTAAAAAAAGAATTTGAAAGCGAGCAGTGGCAACAACTTTCGAAATAAGGCAGATTTTCGTTTACAGCTTGCGATACTGTTGCCACTCGGAAAAATTGAGAGCGAAAATTATCGTTTTTCCGAAATTTTTAATTAATACCTCTGACTTTAGCTTACTGGAAGGTTAGTTTTTTTTTTGAAAAAAGTAGGACGTCGACCTTTTCCAGGACGCAGAAAAGGAATTGTAGAGTCACCAAACTTTGGTGACTGACTAGTTACCAGTAGTGACTGAGCTATTAGAGGACAACCAAACACACAGACTTTCTTCTTTATATATATAGACGAGAAGGTTCTGATAATTTCAGTTTTCTCGAAATTTCTGGAAAGCAAAGAGTAGAATTACGGTCAGAGATAACACAGTAGACAATTACATTTATTCAGTTTAAATATAAGTTACTAGATACCTATTATGAAATGCGGGTGCTCCAGTAATTTTACTTTTTCGGTGTAGCTTCTCTTAAAACTCGTAGCTCTCTTAAACGGGGAAATACAACGATTTTAATTACAATTCTACTAAACACTGCTAACTAAATACAAAATCCGGAACAATATATTCGTTATTCTCTCCGGATCTACTAGGTGTCTAGGTGTCATATATTTTTGTGTTTTCTTATTCACCTGTATTATGGCCCTTATGTATTGCTGATGCCCTTATGTACTTACTTCTGCGAGCCTCATGACCTATCTGGTGGAACAGGTGAGATTTTGCATTTCTATTCTTAAATAACAATAACTAATAATGTTTATAAAAAGTTAAAAGCAGTTTTGGAGCAGGTGAGTCCAAGAGCAGGCAGATAACCCGCGAGGTCAGCAGCAACAGAAAAAAAACCTTAACAAACTCTCTGATGTAAAGTTACAATATTAATCCTTTCAGACTTTTTTTTTCTTCCTTATTTTTAATAGTACGTTCTTGTTTTGAGTGCTGTGTTATTTTACATAGCCAAATAAACTTGTCTACAGATTAAATTGCTTCAAAACAAATTATTAACTGTCAGTTTTTATTAATTATAACACATTTTATTCTCCTTTCCTGCAATTTTAACTGCAGTCGTGATAACCGTCAATGGACTAAACCCCGAGTGTGTAAATCTTAATTTTTTTCCAATGGCAGATTGTAAACAATTACAAATGTAACCCAGTCCATTAATCAATACAAGGCCGGATGTGGTGGTCTCTTTATTATGGAGGCACCTAATAGATGGGCCACCATCGTATTTATCATGAAGGGGGACGGACAGTTACAACCCTGCCTTCTCCGGGATTCGAACCCAGGTCCTTCGGCATCGCAGTTAGCTTCCCTGACCACTATACCGACTGGACGGCCGCAAACCTTAACTTACTGTAGCTATTTTTATATTACCAGTCATGATACAGATGTCTAACGTTTTTGCTTCGAAAACAGCATCCAGACTAGCAATCCATTATGTTATTGTTCCAAGGCGATAATATTTCAAACACGTGACATCAGTTGCCACCAGAATAATATTTTGGTTCTCTCATAAATTTTAGGTTAAAAATTTTTGAATATAGAAAAAAATAACCCTCTTCTGCAAAGGCAGATACAATATTGTATCTGCCTTTTTTTGCACTATGTTACAATATTATTATTACAACTAGAATGTTATTATTTACAATTATGAAATGCCGGGGCGCGGGCGGCACGTGGAAAAATGGTAGGTCACGAACGGCATGTGGGCTCCGAATTAAAATTATTTCTGCCCACGAATATATGTCTCGTTACTGCTCCTCCTGCTCCTGCTCCTCACTCTGCTGTTCCTCCTCCTGCTCCTTATTCTGCTGTTCCTCCTCCTGCTTCTACTCCGCGTACTGCTGCTCCTCCTCCTCCTCCTACTGCTGCTTTTCCAGATGCTCCTCCTCTTCCTCCTGCTGCACTTCCTCTGGCTTCTCTTCCTCCTTCTGCTCCTCATCTTGCTGCTCCTCCTCCTGCTGTTCCTCCTCGTCCTGCTCCTACTTCCGGTGCTCCCTTTTCTGCTGCTCCTCCTGCAGCACGAGGAGGAAAAGCACGTGGAGCAGCAGGAAGACAAGCAGCATGCAGAAAGGAAGGAGAAAATACCTCATACGTTCTCCATTCTAAAGGGCGACTGGGGATTCAATCTCCAATCCCGGTGGTGAGCGGACCCAATCTCCAAATCCCGGTGGTGAAGAAATCACTATTTTTTACTTCGGGCACCACTGTACAGTCATTAGGATTTTTGAGGTAGGAAAAACAAAAAATGAGTCTAATTTGCATTTAACGCGATTCTAAAAACTCATTCCGGTAAAGAGTTTTAAGCTGAAGCTAGGAGAGACTGGAAAGGTGAACTAAATTAAAATAACTGTTTTAAAATATGCCTTAAAAGCGTAACCGTGACAATTATCTTATTTTAAATCCTCAACTTTCAAATAACAATGTCTGAAATTTCATTTCGATTGTTTGATCGCATAGACCGCTTGAGGTTTATATATCGGGAAATGCTTTAGGTGATCATCATGTATTCAGCTTCAATTCGTTCAAAAATGTAATTTTATTATTCTTATTTATAATTAAGGCATCCGATTTTTGGGGTGCTCTCTTTTTTCATGTTATAAAGGCATACCGATTTTTAGAGTTGAATTTTTTTAAAGTAAATCATTCTTTTCTCTTTTTATATTTCTTTTTACATTTGCATTTGGAATATTTTTTTATTTAGCTTCATTCTTGAAATTATAGAAAATGCGCTCTAAAAAATGCTTTGTGTTAAAATGGCGTTGAAAGATCTAAGTTATTTAAGAAATTAAATTAATAAAACAATTTAAGCTGCCATACGGAGTGTTTCTTGCCCCCTCCCCATATAATAGTTGTGTATCCATGGTTATGAAAGAAGTGGTGGGTTTTTTCGAAGTTTTTTCTCGTATGTATGATATGTGTCTCATGTTAGACCAACTATAGTGTTTAGGATGCCATAATAGTGTAGTATTCCACAATGAATCCAAATTAAAAAATTAAATACATTTAATTTGAATGATAGAATTAATGAATATGATACAGAATGATAAGTAAAGAATTTAAACTTTCATTTTTATGAATCCCTGTACCAATTATTAATGCATTAAAATGTATTATTAACGTTTTAAACAAATACAAATATTTCAACTCTTGATATATTTACACTAAATATTATTATATAATTTACAGGTAAAAATATTTCGTCAGTATTTCTTCCCAATATGTAGCAAATGTTATTGAAAAATATTCTTAAATATATATTCTCTGTTATTTCACGTACCCTTGCAGAATAAGGAATTTATTCATGAGCTATATCGAATGCTGTTGGCGAATTCTGAATTCTGAATACATTGTTTTGTATTTTATGTTGAGTGAAAAAGATAACAGAAAACTGCAAACATATGGAAAAACGAAAAGTCGCAATTCTACTGCCCAAGCGACTTCTACATATCTACTAGTTTTTTTCTTTATAAAGCAATTAAATTTATGTATTTAAAAATTATTCAATAAATATTAAATAAATGAAAAAATGTTGAGAATATGAATTATATCTCGATGACCTTGTATGATGATATTAAATGTGATTTCATGTGCATAATAAATTAACATTTGGTCATATTACTGCATATAACATAACAGAGGTAACAAAAGATTTTAGATCTTTTGTAATGTTTTAGATCTTTTGAAGATGTAATTTTCGTAGTTAGATATAAAAATCACCTTAAAAAACAGAAGCATATCACATTTTTCTGTCAATGGCCATGCCATGCTGAAAGTACCACTTCTCGTCCGATCCGAGCTCCTTTCTTAAGCCTAAATAGCGGTTTTCTTTCCTCTTTCTTTAGCAAATGCTTACTTTTATTTATTTCATTTTTCATAACTATGATATGGAGGTAATTGCAATTAATTTGCAAAGGTGCTCTGTAACCAAAACGCTTTGGTCCGAAGTCGAGCGCGGTCAGTACTTAGAAGGATGACCACCTGGGAACACCGCGTGCTATTAGCGTCATTTTTGCCGCCCAGTCTTTGTAGTGGTTAGTGAACTGACGTAGCGATGGGTTCGGACACTTCCGAGTATTAAATAAAACGCCCGCCTAATAAAAAATAAAAATTCGGTGTACTTTTCCGTTTTGCCTGCGCAGGCGATAAAGTCGCCAATAATGGTACAACTAACGGAAAAGTGAAAGGTTACCAGCGAGGATAACTAAACGGAATACCCTCGCTGGTAACCTTTCACGCCTCATTTTCAAAACAAGTAGCAGCCATTTCTAATCAGATTGATTGTTTCTTTCAATACTAGCATAGAAGTTTCACCAGATACTTCAATTTTATGCCTTAAGGCCATTTGCGGTAATTAACTCAATTAGGATGCAATCACACCGCTCACCCGAAGGCAAAAATATAGAAAAGGCAAAGTCAAGGGTCACTAGCGAAGTAAAGCACTGCGGTTTTACGTAATTTCTCAGTAAGCTATTCGTACGAATTGAAATAATTTTTTCATTTAAACTTGTATTCCAAATTACGTTTTAGCTTGAAATTAATGTAGATAATTACTGAGAAAATTAGATTTTTGTAGCCTAGTTTACGTGAGAAGAGACCACTTGTGATCACGTGATATGAACCGGCAAAATCAGGATGTTGGACCATGAAAGCATAGTAAATTCTTAAATTATTGTCTTCTTACAAATTTATCAGCTTTATTTATTGGCTTTTTACAAAGTTTTAAACGATATTAAAATGTCTATACCTTCAAAATAAAATATTCTTAGAACTAACATTTTTTAACGTTTTTTAATGTGTACACTGTATGTTGTCGCCATTAAAGTCTGCTTGGCGAAATTTACGCCGGCGAAACGGAAAAGTACCAAATTCAGTTCAGGAGAGAAGCGTTTATCATTTCTATCGCTTCAAAACGGAAACATCCAATATTTTCACCTACCATTATTGTGGGTAGTTTTACTTATTCCTTTAACATTTAAAGGACAATATATTTACCTGTTGCAACTTTAATACGTTGGGGACGGCGTAGATTTTGCTATATCACGCCACTGGAAGGCAGTGCCTTTAGCTGAAGAACATTCAGATAAATCAACGAATTTATATAGTACTGTAAAAGTAAATAGAAAATTTCCACCGGCAGAAGCAAAACTAAAACAAAAACGAGATGCCATTGCGAGTGTTGAAAATCCTAAAGCAGTTAAATTTTTTAAATGAACAGACAAACGGTCAGTTTGCATGTTAACTACTTGCAACAATTCTACTCATACTGTGATTGAAGGAACAAGTGGTAAAATCTGATGCTCTTTTTGACTACAATAATGGAAAAAAAGCGTTGATATATCCGATCAATTTGCATCATATTACAATTCCTTACGCAAAACCGTTAAGTGGTACAGAAAACTTACCGAAGAATTGATTTGCGCAACATGAATTGTCAATGCATGGTATATTCATAAGAGGGGAGGTACCAAGAATTATAATATTTTAAAATTTACAGAAAATATTATTCATCGGCTCATGGATGCAATGCCTACAGAACCACAAACATCTACCAAAAAGAAGAACTAAACATTTTGAGAAGTATTCCGGAACTGCGAGAAAGTAGCGGAAACGATCCTCCCGTGAATGCTATAAATCCTTATCTGCTCGACGAGGTAGAAACATTGCTGCAAATAAAAGGAAAACGGTTACAACGTTTCCCCAGTTTTTGCGAAGGTGAACCACCACTATGTTGAAAATGTAAATAAATAAAAAAAAATAAATAAAATAAAAATAAATAAATATCTAAATAAATATGTACATTAAGCCGATTATAGTCCACCTGTAAAAATAAGATTTCCAATTTTTCAATAAAAAACTTATTTTTAACCACATGGCGTTTTTTTCATCTAACAAAACTGTATTATAAAACTATAACTGATATAAGCCACCTGTGGTACACGCCGCCAAATGAAGAACCATTCGCGTGTGATTCAAAGGTGGTACACACCGTCCGCAAAGTGTTAATATACAGACGATGGATCATATTTAATTATCTGTTTTGAAGAATGCTTCTGGATATGTAAATTTTATGTAAATGAGGCTGGGGAATCGCTATCACTTTTCAAATAGAGCTATGATTTTTCATGTGATTATGACAAAGCCTCGAGGGCTTTTAAGGGTAGGGATGGCTTCTTGGCGGACTTTATAACGGAAACTCGCTCGTATTAACACCGGAAACATGGGAAAAACCACGAAAACGCCCATGCAACCAGCCCGATCGCGGGATTCGAACTTCGGACGGAACTACCAGTGTTCAGCGACTTTACCGCTCGGCCTCTGATGGGCCTAATCACAGCTTTGAGCAATGCATGTTTATCCATAAACTGAGAAGAAACTAAGAAATGAACAAAAAATGATTAATTATGGAAAACTTTAACTCAGCTCTGCATAACACCTTTCATTGATGCATAGCTATTATACAGTAAAACAAATCAGCCCTTAAAAGACTTTTTCATATATTGAAAAAGACAAGTTCATTAACCGATACTCTCCTACTTTGAGGTAATAATTACGATTGCATTGTTTAATTTCACAAAATAAAAATTCTTTAAAGGTATCATACTTTGGAAGTACGCATAATCATTTATCATAAGAGTAGCATAAATAAATATGTTGATTTATTTAGTTACATCAGTCGTATTCATGACGATGTGCACTTCTAAAATCATTCAACAGATTACTGCTAGAATGTGAATTTCAAATTTCATCTTCTATTTCTTATATTGTCATTTCCATTTTATAGTTCTCCTGGAAAGTTGTCTTCAAAATATATATCTTACTAGCCGTTACTCGGCATGATTTTTAGTGATACTTAAAGAAAGTGCTTGTGTTTTTATTCTGTTTATTGAAATGCTTTTGGATATTCTGTTTATTGAAATGCTTTTAGAATTATTTTTATTGAAATGCTTTTGCAATTATGTTTATTGAAATTCTTTTGGATTCTCCCCATCTGATGCGGGCAATTTCACTTTTCTACCCAACTAGCAACATTCCTGTTGTTTCATTCTTAAATTTGAGGGCTCTGCAATACATTATAATTTATCCATCTTTCCAAAGACCACACTCGAATGAAGACTATAATCATAATTAGCATCGTTATGT